TCCCACCACTCCACCACAGAGTCACCGCAGTAGACGTTAGATGAGCGCTGTCGCTCCACGGCACTTGTTATTATTTACTGTCAGGGTTCTGCCCACGGTGGGCGGGTGTGCCCGGCACTCGCGGTTGCCGCCCGGCACTAATTTTTGATATAAAAAAGAAAAGAAAAAAAGTCTGATATATGGGCTTTTTATTGCTCAGAATGCAGGAAATTGAGTTTCAGATTATCCAAAATCAAAAATTTTCCCCCGGACCCCCCTAGATTTGCTTCGCACCTACGGCGCTTGCATCTTGCAACTTCGTCGCAACTGGATGCGCCCGGCACTAAAAAATCCTGGGCAGAACCCTGTACTGTATAATCCAACATGCTATATTACTTAAATTTTCTTAATAATATTTTAAAACAGTATACTGATCGTTTGTTAACTACCAGGAATATTTTATTGTTTACATCCAAACGTAAAATGCGGGGGGATGTCAATATATGTGTGAATTACTCCACAACCTAGCGCACGTGAACAGTGAGCGTGCTGCACGACCTGTGCACGTAAATAAAGTTAACACCCTGGCCAACACAATGTAAGGTTCACTGCCACTGGCCAAAAGTAAGCTCCATCTACTTCTTATCAATTTTTGATATGCCAACCCTGCGTTAGTCTGGATTCAGGAACCTGTGCTAACCTGTGCGTACGAACATCCCACGCACGTTTCTTGAATGCCAACTAATGGCCCCGTCACACTAGAGCTATGCTCATCACGATCGCCCCACGCTCAAAAAATTTGCCCGAGCATGGTGAGAGCGTGGCCAATTGGGCCCCAGCCGGGCCCAGCGCCGATACTACGATCTAATTACGTCGATACTACGATCTAAGTGCGTCTTTACTCCGATCTCATTTCACCCAACAAGCTTTCACCACGCTTAACACCATGCCCGCATCACGCTTGCACTGCGCTCACTGCGTCTTTATTGCGACCAATCAGATCGCATTGCGTTCGAACGACGCTTGCACTGCGCCTAAGCAATGCTCACCGCGCCTCAACTGCGCGCCAGTCACGCTCCTAGTGCGACTTAATCACGCTCTAGTCAGGCGCTAACTGCGCTGGCAACGACCATATAAATACCGCGCCGTGTTCTAGACATCATCATTCGTTCTGCCCTGCTGTTCACATCAAGATTATTTTCTACTGGATGCTACAACTATGCCGCCAAAAGACAAGGGGAGAAGCCGTGGAAGGGGGAAAGGCCGAGCAAAGAATCCAAAGAGGTGCAGGAGTCCGCCATCTCCCTCAAGTGTTGCTCTGGAATCAGAGCCTGAGCAACCTCAAGCCTCCCAGCCTCAAGAATCCCTGCCTCCAGCCGCGCAGGCCCATGAGAGTGACGTAGACACCGACGCTGCGAGTGTCACCAGCAAGACCAGTGTAGCGAGAAAGGGCAAGAAGACCAAGATCCACAGTTCCCTGACAGAGGAAGAGGAGCAGAGCATGGTGGATTGGCTGGCAGAAAACACTGTCTTCTACAACAAGAGGATGAAGGCCTACAAAGACATGACGAGGAAAGAAAGCCTCTGGAGAGAGAAGGCAGCCGAGCTGGGGAAGGATGTCGCCGAGCTCAAGCTCTGGTACAGCAGCCTTCGGACCCGCTTTGGACGTCTGAAGACGAAGAAATCTGGCCAGGAAGATGTGGAGATGACAGAGAGGGACGAGTGAATTTACAACCATTTCCAGTTCCTGGTGCCTTACGTCCACGAGGTTCAGCCCAAGACAACTGTAAGTGTAAGTAGTCTTAGCCACTTTTTTAGTGTAACTGTGTTTATTAAACTTATTAAATAAAGTAATGTTATAAAATAAAGTAATGTAAAATAATGTAATGTAATAAAGTAATTAAATAAAGTAAGTTATTAAATAAGTGTTTATTAAATAAAGTAATTGGTAATTCGAAACTTGTAATATGGAAACTACTTCACCATTGTACCTGCTGCGAAGTAACTCTGCAGTCATATATAGGCTGTTCAAATCACTTGCCTCTTGTTCTTGTGTATGTTGCAGATGAAACAGAAGATTGCTGTCACCACTACCTCTATCGGAGCTGCACAAGATGACGAGGACATTGGTGACGATGACATTGACGACACACTCATTGAGCCGTCTCAACAGACACCAGGAAGCAGCAAAGCATCTGGAGAGCAACAGACACCAGGAAGCAGCAAAGCATCTGGAGAGCAACAGACACAGAAGCAAGCAATGCATCTGGAGGAGCAACAACACACCAGGAAGCAGCAAAGCATCTGGAGAAGCACAGACACCAGGAAGCAGCAAAGCATCTGCGAGAGCAACAACCCAGGAAGCAGCAAAGCAGTCGTAGAGGCCACAGACACCAGAAGCAGCAAAGCATCTGGAGAGCAACAGACACCAGGAAGCAGCAAAGCATCTGGAGAGCAACAGACACCAGGACGCAGCAAAGCAGCAAAGCATCTGGAGAGCAACAGACACCAGGAAGCAGCAAAGCATCTGGAGAGCAACAGACACCAGGAAGCAGCAAAGCATCTAGAGACCAACAGACACCAGGAAGCAGCAAAGCATCTGGAGAGCAACAGACACCAGGAAGCAGCAAAGCATCTGGAGAGCAACAGACACCAGGAAGCAGCAAAGCATCTGGAGAGCAACAGACACCAGGAAGCAGCAAAGCATCTGGATAGCGACAGACACCAGGAAGCAGCAAAGCATCTGGAGAGCAACAG